CTAATCAGTGTGAAAATGTGGCTAATGCGTTTTTCTGTTTCCCTAGGATCCCTGTTGCATACCTCGTGACACAACAGAAAAAATTTAGTCCAAACTATTTACAGAGATACAAACTTTAAAGAGGATCTTTCTTAAGCTTCCTATGTTTAAACATGTTTTACCAAACAAGTTTAATTTCCACCATTTTGTTTTAAATTTATTATCTTTCCACCAATATTTTACCTCTGGTCCTGGAGGGCCAGATGGTCCTTGGAGTCCTGGGTCACCTGTTTGGCCCTAAAATGGGGGGGGAGGATCAAAGTATAAACATTAACTTAATAAATACAATTAAAAGAAGAAACAGCCATATGGTAAAGAAATAGCAGTCATTATATTATTATGTCAAATAAGGTTGTAATGACTTTTTAGAAAAATTTGTAACCATCATTACCGTAAAAGTTTTTAAATAAGATGTTTATGGGTTGAATATACATTCACTCAAGTGTTAGTGATATAAACAAATTAATGAGTCAAGTGCTCAAATCAAGAAAAAAAATTGTATGTTTATGCATGTGTCACAGAGATAAGACAATAAAGCAGGACTCAACAAGATAGGGAATTCTAGATGAGAAACCGCTTTTATAAATAACCACAGTCCCAGGGCTGTCTCTGAAAATTCCTCTCTCCTTTGATACTGTAAGTGGCCTGAATTAGTAATTAAGACTCACCTGGATTGAAATCCTTGTTACTTAATCTCTCTAAGCCTCAGTTTTCTCATCAATAAAATAGAAATAATAATTATAGTAGTAACATTCTCAAAGAGTCATTGGAAGTTAAATTAGATAATATATGTAAAGTGCTAAGCAGAATGTCTGACATATGAAATACTCATTAAATATCAACCAATTTTACAATCATTATTCCTTCTCTTCACACCCTTGCTGCTTTCCTGGCTCATACACAGAATTCCTAGATCGTTTTCATCCTTTAATTGAAGTTTTGAGGATTCAGTTTTCGTATCTCTGAAGCTAGTTTCTGAGATTCATGATAAAGATGTGAAATCAGGGTTAAAGGAGAAAGTGACAGGAGAGAGAAGTAGGCATAAATCCTGAAACCAGAGAAGGCTAGCAATGCTCTCAAGAGATGAAAGTTTGGAAAGGGAGGACAGTAGTCTGATATATCTATTTTCATAAGAAAAACTATTGCATTCATTATTTCTTTCATATTAAGTTTCAAATTTAATTTAAATAAGCCTCAGATCACCTAAACTTGCAAGTTACTATATGGGATTGCCCATTTTCCAAAACCTAAAGCACAGTTTCCAATATGCACTTAATTCATTCTCAGTGCTGAGGTATCTGGACATAAAACAGGACACCATACAACTACTGCAATCAAACCTAGAGGAAGGCAGTGAAATACTATGAAAAGGCTCATTTAAGTTTCCCTTTCCAAATAAACAAAAACAAAATCTGTGATCTGTCAGAATCAGTATACTGAAGTTCTCAAAATGACAAGCATCTCTCTTTAAAGAGATAGAGATGGGGCGAGGGGCTCTCATTGGAGCCCTCTAGTGGCAAAATCCAATCACAAAGCTAAATTTCTAAGCAGTGAGGATAAAATAGCAATACCCTAGGGCTTTGTTTTCAGAAAAGCTAATTGACAATCAGATATTTAAAAACAGAAATTGTGTCATGATTTTATTTGTTCTTCAGAATAATTCTTTGTTTTGAAAAACTTCGATTGCAAATTTCCTATGAATGTCAATTTTCCTTTATAAAAGCTGACATTTTAAGTAACTTAGAAGTTACTTAAAGTTACTTATCTATAGATAACTGACTAATATTAAATAAACATCTACAAATGACAAAAACTTCTAGCTAAAAAATGGATAGAGCATAACAATTGTGTTTGTTTTCTTGGTCTAAAGGAAAGTGTATTTACTGACAACCTCAGAGTGGTAGTTTTCTCTATTTTTTTAAAATACTTATAGAGCAAAAGCTTTCCTATTCAAGAACTGTACCAACTTTCCAAATCAGGACATTCTTTCTTATATCTTGAAAATATTTTTCATGTTACAACTTAGATCTACTTGGAAACAATATTAGTTAGTAACACCAACCTCTTAGGTAACAGAAAATTAAAAGTAGGATCTATAAAATAGGGAAGACATCCTTATGATGTTGACATTCTTTCCATGACAGTAAACAAATATTAGGTAGGCATTAACTTATATAATTGAGTGTGGGAGTTTGTTGCTTAATATAATAACTGATTCTGCATAAGCAACTTTTCATCAAACAAGTGTCTCCTTCCACAAAAAGCAAAGTTTTCCTGGTCAAATATCTAAAGTTTTTCTATTAATAATATATAGAGCCAGGTGCAGTGGCTCACACCTATAATCCCACACTCTGGGAGACTGAGGTGAGAGGATCGCTTGAGGCCAGGAGTTTAAGACTAGCCTGGGCAACAAAACAAGACCCAGTTTCTACAATTTTTTTTTTTTTTTAAATTAGCTGGGCATAGTGGTGAGCACCTGCAGTCCTTGCTACTTGAGAGGCTGAGGTGAAAGGACCACTTGAGCCCAAGAGTTGGAGACTGCAGTGAGCTGTGATGGCACCATTACACTCTATCCTGAGCAACAGAGGGAGACCCTGTCTCCGAAAACATTTTTTTAAATTAAAACAAAAAGATACAAACAAGTAATAGATACAACAAGAGAGACTAAAGACAAGGCTATCTCACTAATTTTAATTCATGAATGCCTATCTTACCTTCGGCCCAAAGTGTTTTCAAAAGTTTGGTAAGACAAATAAAAAATCAATTATCTCCCTATCAAAGTAATTCCTGCTGACATTAATTTTCTTTATTAGAACAGTACACAAAGGTGTAAAACGAGTAAGTAAAAGACTCACTCTCATTGTCTCTTGCTCCCTGCCCTAAAAGAACATCATTAGCATTTATTGTGACTTCTTTCAGGAAAAAAATACTAAGGGCTTTAAGATAATGTGTTAAAGGTGAAATAGGCTCTCTGTCTTTTCTTTAGCTTACACTAGAGGAATATTAATAAGTACTATTTCTAAAAGAGAAGAACATCATAATCACAGGACTATACGGAACCTTACATATGATATGGCCTAACTTTCTTTTTTTCTTTTTTTTTCTTGAGACGGAATCTCACTCTGTCACTCAGGCTGGAGTGCAGTGGCACAATCTTGACTCACTGCAACCTCTGCCTCCCGGGTTCAAGCTATTCTCCTGCTTCAGCCTCCTGAGGAGCTGGGACTCCAGGTGTGTGCCACTACGCCTGGCTAATTTTTGTATTTTTAGTAGAGATGGGGTTTCACCATGTTGGTCAGGGTGGTCTCGAACTCCTGACCTCGTGATCTGCCTGCCTCAGCCTCCCAAAGTGCTGGGATTACAGGCATGAGCCACCATGCGTGGCCCTAACTTTAATTTTAAACATGAGAAACTGGTACCATGGTAGTTAAATACCCAAGGTTAAATACCCTAGCTAGTAGGTTAAGTGCCAGAGCTAGGACCAGAATCCAGGTCTTTGTCTCTCTAGTCAATGATTTTTTTACTCCCATAAATGTGTTATAAATGGAAATTTAATCAAAGAGTAAGGAACACTAAAATGGTTTGCCTTGTGTAAGCAAGATACTTAACTCTAGTTTTCTCAAAAAATTAATTGTAAGGTACAAAAGAATAATACTTATATTATTTATTAGTTAATAGTGCCCTTAGAGCATGTATTGTATCATTTCATCCTATTTGGTCAAGGGATAGAAAACTGTCACATTATTAAAAAAAAAAAAAAGAAATATGTAAAAGAGATCTTATTTTGCCAATCACTGCACATCAGAGTGTCTTTATATGGTTTAAGAACCATGTTGAAAAACAGAAGTAGTTTGTTAGCTTCATGATCTATTCTCATGATTCAGTTTATGCACTCTAGAGCTTCTGAGATTCAACTCAAGGGTACAAGGGAGGGTACATGGCTTACTAGGTTAAGCCCTTATGGCAATAAACCCAGGGCAAAAAACTACTATAAGCAAAGGTCACCACTAACATTTCATCGAAAAGATGCCAAAAGTTGTTCTTTGGGTTAAATAATTCCGAAGAGATGTATATAAAATACTATCAGTGTTAGAAGTCACAAAGAACGGGGTAAAGTTCTGTAATTTAATACTGCTTCCTGAGATTAAAAAAAATAAACAATCCTTAGATGGAAGGGTAGAGCTAGAGGGAAGACAATAAACTGCTCAGGAACACAACACTCTTATTTTTAAATGTATGTTTTAATGTGACATTAATAAATTATAATCCTATATGTATTTTTATATGTATAATCATCTCTATCTTTTTTGTAGAATTGAATCCTATATCTAATTTTTTCTATCTGTAATCACCTTTACCTTCATGGAGCTGTAATCAATATTAAAATCCTAAAACCGTCTTAAAATATTAAACCCTAAAACAGTATGGCACAGTAGCTAAAAGCATAAACTCGGACATACCTGATTGCCTAGGTTTTTCTGAATGGTCACCTACTAAGTAACTGGTGGCTACCCAGGTGACCTTAGGCATTTTCTAACACTGTGTCTCAATTTTCTTAATATAAAAAATAGGAATATTAATAGTACCAACTTTGTAGGATTGTTGTGAAGATTAATTTAGATGTATAGTCCTTTGAATACTGCCTGGTATTGTGTAGATAGTCAGTAAATGTCAGCTACAATAATTATGATTTTTAATATTTAGAAATATATTTTGTCTCATGTTTTAATCATTTTATTTAAATAGCTGTAATAATTAAGTAATTTTGATTTACAATTTTTTGAGTTTTATGTTAACAGCAATATAACGTATCTTTTTCTTTCATCTAATTGATATCCAAGGGTTAGAAAAAAAAAAGGATTTAGAATATTTTGGTCCACAAGAGAGTGCAAACATGCTACCTTTTCTTCAGACTGTTTCCTTAATAAAATTGATATTTTGAAAAGTTAAAATATTATTTAAGATGCTTCATATTTTCTGGCTTCAAAGCCTATTGTTTTAATTTAAATATTGTCTATAATAGATTATTCAGTAGAATAATATGACCAAGATCTTTAGGACTCTCAGAAACTTGGCTTTGGCCTAGGGTTGGGAGTAGAGGGAAGTCCAAAAGTCTACGGAATGTGAACTGAATACTTGAGGGATTTGCTATATTCTGAAACTGAGGAGGCAAATGCTCAGTAGGCTTATACCCTACTTAGATCAACAGTGTCGAGACTCATGCCATCGCATGCACTCTGTCAATTACAAAGAGCAAAGCAAAAGTTCAAACCTACTGAAGGCCCTGGCTTTCCTCTCATCCCTTGTGGTCCTGGCAAACCAACAGCACCCTAAAAGAAGAGAATAACAGAGAGAAGAGAAAGTTATTATAGCACAAAAGGCAGATATACCACTATTTACAAACTGCTAACAAATTTCATAAAGTATGCTAAAATATTGAGAAAAAAGTTTCAAACAAGAACTTAAAACCATACTGATACCACATTCTAACACAAGACATGGATAAAATAATAAGCAGTTCTTTCTTTTGAATTTACACTTTTTCATATTTACATAAAATTAATGGTATAAACATTACCTTGTCTCCAGGATACCCTGGTTCTCCTAGCTCTCCTGCAGTGCCTTGTTCACCCTGGAAAGCACAATTTCATGCAAAGATACTTACGTATCACAAACATGGCAATATTATAAGAAAGCAAATATTCATTATAAAAGAATAATTTCTCTATTTTTCTTACTTCTGAGGAAAACTAATATAATTGATACCACAAATTAGACTCCATAAAAACAAAATATTTCATAAATTGTGTTGACTGAAAAGTAAAAGACAAATGTGATTAAAAAATTATTTTTATAATATTAATATTTAAATCACCTTATCACCTTTGATTCCAGGTAGTCCTTTATTCCCTGAAAGACCCTACGAAAAAAGGTGACATTTTGTGATATCATAGAGAGATTAAAGGGAAATAAATATCCATTATACAAATAGAACCATACCACTGGGCCAGGAATTCCAGCAGGTCCAATTGGTCCTACAGGGCCAACACTGCCCTGAAAAACAGTAAGAAAGAAGTGCACCATTAATCATTCATTAGGATTAGAAAGAAAATGTGGCAGAATTAATAAATTAATGAACCCAAAACAGTCATCTCACTAAGCTCCTACACGTGCCTTGTTCTTCAACAACTTATTTTCCTCTCTACATTTATAAATCATACCAATATTTCAAACTTTAGTGAAGTCCATCATTTTTCGGAAACCTTTTCATATTTGTCTAGTCCACAGAGATTCTTTCCTCCTTTGAGCTCCTATGATACTGTCCATGACATTCATCTTGCAATATTTCTCCAAGTAGATGAGACCTTTAAAAAATATTTCAGTGCCATGCTCCCAGGAAATAGTCAACAGATACTTCATTTGATTGTCTTAGAGTTTTATTTCACCCACTTATTCAGCCAATATTTATTGAGCAGTTACTATGTGCCAGACATCCTAATGATTTGATTTTATAATTTCCAGTTTGCAGAATGAGAAAATTTATCATAATTTCAGGGATAAACTCAGAGGCAAACAAAAGGCTGTATCCTTCTGGGCTTATCTCATGTATTCATCATTTAATATTTACTAAGCATAATATGTACAAGACACTGTTGAAGAATAAAAGAGAAAAAAGACATAATCTCTAACATCAATTTAATGCTCTAATTCCTCAGAAGCATTACCACTATTATCTCCCGCAAGCAAGAGACTTAGAAAAAACTCTTTCAATATGTCATCTTAGAAAACAAAGGGCAATAGCAACATAAGGGTATGAAAGAAAAAATTGCAAAACAAAATGGCACTTCTTGGTGGCTTGGGATCAGTTATAATTTCTGTGTCACTAAGGTCTCATTTTTCTTCTTTCACTCACTACCTTTCTTTGCCTGGTTTCCTTACTACTTTTTATAATGTAAATCCAAGTTAGTTCAAACTTCTCTTTTTAGTTTTGAAATATTAAGGAACTACTGAAGTTGCATTTGTGAAATGCCAAAAATGTTACCCCTTGTAGTTAGAATTCCAGTTTCTTAGGATAGCATCCTAGGCCCTCTCTATCAGACCTCCATCAATCTTTCCGGTCTCCTTTCCTTCCATTGTCCTCATTTCCATTCCCCTTTACTTCTCCCTCCCCGAAATCCTCCGTTCTAGCTGCAGTGGACATGCTCTCTCTTATCAAATGCTCAGGACCTTTGACAAGACAGTTACCAGTACTAGAATGCCATTCTACTTCACTACTTAGTACACAGCACTGTACTTTTTTTTTTCTGCCTTCCTAGTCTGTGCATTTTGTGACAGCAGAAAAACATGTCTCATTTGCTTTTTTAATTTCCCAGACCCAACATAATAACTGGCAGATAATGGTTCTGAAATAAAGTATAGAATGAACACTGAAGGGATTAATTTGAAATGGTGATTTCTAGAGCTCAATATCCCAACAAAACAGCATTTCTAATTGTCTACATTTATATAATACAAATTTCAGAATGGAGAATATGACATCATATGGAAGAGTCTTAAAGTCTGTGAAATATAACTATGATAAATTATTTCTAACATGTTTAATCCTGAAATATATAACACTGTTACAGGCAAAGGGTAATACTTTCCAACTTAACAGATATGCAATATTAATACATCATGCTTGTAATTTCAAATTATGTCAATAGGAAAACCTATGCTTATGATTACAGTGGATAGTTTATTCAAAGTTCATAGCTTTAAAACTTATGATAGGTTAGAAAAACACAAAAATATCTATGCTTGGAAATTGTGTAAAAGTAATCCAAGAAAGTATAGAAAGGACTATCTTAACGAACACACAAAAAAATCTTTCTTTGTGTCCTGTTGTTTTCATCATAGATAAAATAATATTCTTAACTTTTTTCAGTAAGTATATTACTGGCATCTTCAGATGAATGTACTTTGTATGTATAATATCTTATTTTACTTTTCAGTGACTCTATAAGAAAAATTACCTAATGATAAGTATTGGGAGATATGAAAATATATTATAATGAACTTAGAAAAATAAAGAACTATAAAGTAAAATTGAATACTATGGAATCGAAAATTCCAAGAAACAGCATGTCACAGATTGAGTGGAAATTCTCGTCCTGAGAAACCATAGCCTTCTGAAAGTAACTCAGTTCTCAGTTCTACAAAGGAAACCTGAAAGTCCTTCAGCATTCCCTACCTACCAACTCATCTTCCATAAGAATGTGGAACAGACAGAAGAAATACTTTCGTGCATGGGAGCTTTGCTGAGGGTGTTTGGGATATGGTATCAGAGACAGAGGCGCCTCCCACACAGCTCCTCTGAGAACTTCTGAATTAAAGTTAAAGAAATAGAGAGACCCAAAGGATAAGTTATTTATATTAAAAAGAGCAGTCACTGGCCAATTAATAAGAGTTCATATGAGTATACTG